GCCCGCGGTCCCGGGCCGAGCCCAGACCACAATACAGCCTTAGCCGAGGGTCTATCGGAAACAGCCTCTCTACCTCTCCAGGTGTAAGGTCTGCGTACACACTAACCTCCCCAGACCCCACCTGAGGGATTATACTGGGTATGTAGTTGTTGTTTATCCAAATATGTTATACGCCAGTATGCTCAAAAGTCTAGAATAACTTTTGACCAAGAAGTAATAATGGCACAAATGCAGTACTATGTTTATATGACGCAGAAATTATTGTATCATATGAGTGGTAGACTTGTTTCCCAACAAAAGGATGGCCTAAAAAGAGACAAGCTCCCCATCCAAATGTAACAAATCGAAATGTTTTGATATATTAATTGTAGCACTTCATATAAATTTGGCTGCCCATGAAAAAAATAAATGCTACTTTATTGCTCTTCCCTAATATATACATGATATATGTGAAACTTTTCGAATGATCTTCTAGTAACGCTAAAGCAACTTCATAAAATAGAAGCTGGAGATTGGTAAATGAATTGTAACTACTTACTATAGTTGATGGTGTTTGCCATTCTTTTACACGCCTCTTACATCCGATATGAAAATCGTGTTGATACTAATCTTTTTGCAAGCATTATCCCTATCTTGCATTTGTTGCCTCTTTAAAATTTCAGCATTCACAAATTAAAATTAAGTGTTTTTCTTTATGCACATGCGTAACATGGTCAGTGAGGATTCATATAATCGACCGCAACTTGCTTGGGACTAAGGCGTGCCATTGTTTTTCTTAAGGCACATCTTATACAAACGGACACCTCACATCCATCAGAATGCCTTGCACCCATGCCTGGCCTACTATTCTACCCTGGTGCTATAATGTGCCTACTTTCTTTGACAACTATGAAATAGTGGGACACAATACCATTCAAAGAACAACGGTTTTCCACAAACAAGAAAAAAAACTGCAATAGAAAGCATACCTCTTCAACAATGATGCCTTCCATGACTTCAGGGAACTTTGAAATAATTCTTTCCAGAATTTCTAAGTCAACTGCATAGAGATTAGTTACCTCCATCCCGAGCCGCGGCCGACGTGGTTGCCTATGATAGAACAAAAATTTAAGATTAGTACCAGGTATTTGTGTGATTAGATTTTTTTATAAGCCTAAACTCCCTCAATATTTTTTCTTCATTATAGTTGGCATGTACAAGCTCAAGTAGCAAGAATTCTTTGTTTAAGAGTGTACAACATTCAAAAGATAAATTATAAGTGGAATAACTTAAAATTTTAGTAGAAAGACAAACACACCAAGAAACAGAGATCCACTATGGATATGAGAAAGGCACAAACAAACCTCGAAAAAAAATTACATAAATAAAGGTAATAATTAATTGCTTTTGCAAAATTTTCTAGTCACTTGCAGGTTTATTCTAGAAAATAAAAGCTAGGCTACAAAACATGTTTCTTTCTTTAATAAGGAAAACAATTTTTTTTGATAAAGGATAATATAAATAACTTTATTAATGTGAAAAAAACATCCGTATATAAGCCGAATACAAAAAGTAGAGAACCTACATAACTACAGAATACGTTCAATGTATGATATCTCATAGAAATATTCGATATGTCAACTGGTCCATTATACAATTTGTGACTAAGAGTGGCAAACATGCGGGTCGGGTCAGATATGGTTCGGGTCAAAAACGGGTAATGAAAAAATCGGATAAATTATCCGACCTGACTCATATTTAATACGGATAAAAGATGGGTTAACCGGCGGATAATATGAGTAACCATATTATCCATGACTTCTTGCATATGATCACTTTTGGGACAATACTTAGTCTCCCTAACTTGAGGAACCCCCAATTTGAGGCTTTTAGACCCATTGGTTATCCATTTTTCTAAATGGATAATATGGTTCTTATCCATATTTGACCCGTTTTTAAAAAGTTCATTATCCAACCCATTTTTTAGTGGATAATATGGGTGGTTAACTGTTTCCTTTTAACCATTTTGCCACCCCTATTTGTGACACTGCATGCTTTAAAAATATTGAAGAGATGAAATTCAAGCATATTACATGCAATTGCAGAAAGAAAAATGGTACCACCACATATGTTCCTCCAGCATATTACATGCTTTTTGGGGGAGAGATACTATTTCACCAATCGAGTCACAGGTATCTAACATATTCATACCTAACGATTTTCCACAAAGTGGTGACGAAACGTATAACTTGTACAAATCTTTCCATTTTCCAAGTCGATCCGATCCATTCGTTCGTAGAGCTATTTACTCGATCGCAGACATTTCTGGAACACCTCTAACAGAGGGGCAAATAGTCAATTTTGAAAGAACTTATTGTCAACCTCTTTCAGATATGAATCTATCTGATTCAGAAGGGAAGAACTTGCATCAGTATCTCAATTTCAATTCAAACATGGGTTTGATTCACACTCCATGTTCTGAGAAAGATTTATCATCCGAAAAGAGGAAAAAACGGAGTCTTTGTCTAAAGAAATGCGTTGAGAAAGGGCAGATGTATAGAACCTTTCAACGAGATAGTGCTTTTTCAACTCTCTCAAAATGGAATCTATTCCAAATTGTTAGAATGGAGGAACAATATCACCATTTTTTCTTATAGAACCTTGCATCCTACAAAGGTAAAAACAAGTCAAAGATTCGGAGCTTACCTATATTTCTTATAATGTTCCCACCATATGGAAGTTATATTGATTGGCAAGAATGCAATAGAGGAGACATCATGAAAGCAGATACCGATGATTTCTCCATAGTGATTGATAAGTGGGCCGCCAATACCACACTATAACAAAGAATGAAAACGAAAAGCCCTAAATTTGCTATCTTTCTACAAAAAATCACACACACAATAGATAGAGAAAATATGTATATATTTGTCATTGATTAAGAATATATTTAGAAGCAAAATAAACAAAGTGACAAAACCACCAAAGTAAGAGATAAGTGTGAAAGAGAGTTTTTCTAAAACAGAAAGTGTGAAGGAGTTACTCTTGTAATTCTGCAAGTTGCCATGAAAAGCTCTTTACACTCGAAGTAGTGGTAGTCGCAGCGATCAATGCTACAAGGATCAGCCAGAAAAAGAATTGAGGTGGAAAGTCACAATAACCAACATGGTAATCATGTATGCCATAAGCAGCGTGTATTTGTGAGTGCCCGTGTGTTCTAAAAATCAACACATTATGTTAACAAAACAGCTTACTTAGGTATATGAGAAAAACATGTTCTTACCACCCATAACCCACCATACCCCCTTTGCATTTTAACCATAAGAAAATAAACAAGGCTTCAGGGATACCCTCTCAATAACTAGCTTAAACTTGTCTATCAACAAAAATGATTCCAATTTGCAAACTGGATGTATTGGAGATCCTCAGTTAAAATATACACCAGTAGAAAAACTGACCAAAATTATTAATGTGTTGCATATTGAACCACGATGGCATAGTCTACAGTCAGATCCCTTTCTCTAAGTTACTAAGTACATGCAATTGCAGAATAGGTGCATAGCACATAAATCATCTACTGATGAACAAAATGCAAATGTTGAATTTCTAGACACATAGGGAGGTAAGAATTACAATTTGAGAAACTCAACAATATCAACTTAAGCCCTCAAAATGCATGATACTAGTTGATAGCAAGGCATATTCAAAGGCAAAAGAAATAGTTTAAGAACCAACAACCTACAGAGCCCATGTAAATTAGGACTGCCTAGTTTAGCCACTATGTTACATAAGTCATAATTATTTTTAAGATAGTGAATACAATGAAAAATCAACATTCACGAGTATTTTTGTGCTGAACAATTTTCATTAAAAGTTGAAAATCTCATAATGCATGTACCTACAATCAGAAGAACGCATTCAAAAAAGAAAACAATGGACGAGAAGTAGAATAAGGAAAAACATCAAGGACAACTCCAAAGATAATTAAATTTCAAATGCTAAAGCTAAAACAGAAATTCTAAAGAGGAAAAAAAAAGGTCCAACTTGAAAAGAGGGTAGAATGATCTAATAGTTAACTAAGTCTTGTTACAACTCACGGACTCCAATGAAAGCTAAACAAATCCTCCAGCAAGAAACAACTACCTTATCCAATTCATAGACAGGATCACAATGCTACGCCCATTCTGCATCTCATAATTGACCAAAAAGTGACAACGTCATCTTAAACCCCTGATTTTCACGGTCTAACCCATCTTAACAAACACATAAACCACTAATTATCCCAAATATTTGTACTCAAAAAGAAAAGATATTTTGTCATTATCTAGTCAATTATTTACTAGCACATGCATCAATCAGAAGCATTGTCAACATTGAAGTTATTGACTTAATTTCTTGAATTGACTGCATTCATGTGAATAAAATTTTAATACAAAATTTGATACTAGACCTCACACTTAAAGATAAAAATCTATTACATCTCAAAGGTTCATTAAGCAATTAAATTTATGAGAACGTTTTCTTTTTCTTTTTTATTTATTGGTATTTTGTATATGATTGGAGTTATTTCAGGATACACACTTCTTTCTTTGCGTAGGAAGACAGGTGTACTAACCCAAAGATTAAATTCTCATGTTCAAAAAATGAAATTAGCATAAATGAGTATGCAGAGATGGATGTGAAGAGATATATGATTAGGAATGAAGATATTCGGGATAAGGTGGGAGTGGCCTCTGTGGTGGACAAGATGCGGGAAGCGAGGTCGAGATGGTTCGGGCATGTGAAGAGAAGATGCACACATGCCTCAGTGAGGAGGTGTAAGAGGTTGGCTATGGTGGGGCCAAGGAGATGTAGAGGTAGGCAGAAGAATTATTGGTGACAGGTGATTAGGCAGGACATGTCACATCTTCAGCTTGCCAAGGCATGACCCTTGATAGAAGGGTATGGAGGTCAAAGATTGTGGTAATAGGTTAGTAAGTAGTTGAGTGTAATTCTTTTTTGTACATGTATTGTTTTTCTATATCTATAGTACTAGTGTATTTTTGTATATGATTGGAGTTATTTCAGGATACACACTTCTTTCTTTGCGTAGGAAGTCAGGTGTACTAACCCAAAAACAAATACAATAAATGGATAAAGATAAGTTCTACAAAGTGGTTGTTAGACCGACTAAATTGTATGGGGACGGAGTATTGGCCAATGGCCAGCAAGACTTCTCATGTTCAAAAAATGAAAGTAGCATAAATGAGTATGCAGAGATGGATGTGAAGAGATAAATTGTATGGGGACGGTTATCTCATTTTCTTGATGTTGTATTGTTTCTCTTTACATGGATTCTTCTCTGCCATATTTCCTTATCTAAACTGCTGTGATTATGCTTGTTTTGAGTCGAGGGTAAGGTCTGCGTACACACTATCCTCCCCAGACCCCATTTGTGGGACTACAATGGGTATGTTGTTTTTGTTGTTGAATAAATTAGAGGTAAAATTAAACCTATTTTATTACAATTTTAGGCTTCATTAACTTCCCCTCCTCCCACTCCTTTATATTGAAGGAAGTGATTGTAGCAAATTAAAAGTCAAATAAAAACACTGACCTGAATTCACCAGGGGCAGCCATGATATCATACGGCTTCTTATTGAAACGACCAAGTGCAATAACTGAATCTCCAGGAATAAGATGAAATGAGTTTGAATGCGGACGAAGTTGAAATGGCTTCTCTTCCGTAACTCTGAGCTGACTAGGCCGAATCATGATAGAATCATTTAAATGAGCTAGGGAAGCAATTGGAAGTGGGGTGTCTGATTGAATCCTTATAGCAGCAACATTGTAGTGAAAGTCATAAGCCTCAATATGACCATCAAATGCTCTTCCATCAAATAGGTGCACAATAACCTGAATAAATAGTTATAACTATCAACTAATTTGACAAGAGTTTGGTTGGCAATAACTTTCAAAGGAGTCTAAGATATCAAGAGATTAACAACATGAATTTGGTCAGGAAGTAGTAAGAAAAATCTGAGAACGTGATAAAAATGAGCTAACCTTAATGTCATCTGCTATAGAATTTCTAGCCTTAGAGCACCTAAGGAGACTCGCAGCGGTCAATATTATACTAGAAGTGTCAACACTTTCTATAATGGTTCCAGAACATTGAAATATCTCCTCTTTTCCTGATAATGAACATAAAAGTAACAACAATACGTAAAATGATTACCAAAGAAGGTAGAACAACAAAAATAAAATTGAAACAACTAAGTCTCCAAGCAATAAAAGAAACACATCAAAGCAAGCAACAAATATGAGAAAACAAATAAAGCTAATATGAACAAGTACCCGAGTATGATTCAAGACTGACGACAGATGTGGAAGTTTTTAAAGCAGCCATCTTCGTATAAACATCTAAGTGCTTATTTTGAGCATGTAAATAGAACCTCTGTCGCTTCGGATTGAAACTCTCATAATCACTTGAAAAACCTGGGCCTACACAATTTTACAATTAAAACAGCATAACCAATTGAATTTTGGTACAATGGAAATTAGGGCAGAATTTTTAATGAAACTCACTGTTGTCGGGGTATTCCTTTGGTTCCCTTTTCCAGGGAGTGAAAGCTTCCACCCACTCCCTTTTGTAAGTATCATAATTCATAATTTACCTACAAATTAAGCCAATTCACTCTTATATATCCATCTCAAGGATTAAAAATCAATCAGATACGGTGAATTGTAGAGCAGTAGATTTCTTTTACAATATTGTCTATTTTTATTATTCAAGGAAGCATATTTGCTAAAAAAATATAGATATCAAATCAATTATCTACTTTCTTAACACTACTTCTTCATCCATTGGTAAAGTGCTATGCGATAATAATTGACCTCAGCTTGATCAAAATAAATTCTAATTACATTTAAGCGAAATCTGATTTTCAAAATTCAACTTAAATCGCGCCAAAGCATCTCAAGCCGTTTCCCGTATCACCACATCAATAAACAAATAAAACACACCACAAAAGAGCATAAAGAGAAGTCATATAAAAAAGATTTTCCATCAAAGGCAATAGGTGATTTTGTATCTGTAAGTTGCTCTTTCTATTTCTAACTACTTTTTTTTTCAGAGGATTTCTGTGAAGCATTCTGATTTATGCAGCAAACAAATACTAATGTTCTGTTAATTTCTTAAAAAAGAGCCCACGACCTTAAAACAGAAGGTTTCAGGGTTTAACCGTAGCTCCGTTAACCCCTAGCACTTTTCAGATTACAAACTTTGTTTGGACTAAAACATAGAAAATTAGGGAGAACGCAGAGTATAAACTCCCGAATAGAGAGAGAAAACACCACCGAGCGAAAGGCATTAAAACAAAATAAGGAAAAAAACAAGCATAATGATATAAATAAGAGATACAGTATAAGAAAAATATAAAAAGAAAAGGTTATAATTTATACTATATTAAAAATATTAGCGAAATATCGTTCGCCTTTTTTATCCCTTGAAAATAGATTTTTTATTGGACAAAATTGTAACTAATTTATTTTCCTAATATTTGTTATTTTAGAATCAACAAAAGTTTTGGTTATTAAATTTTTCCTTATTTGAACTATGTAAAAATTCCTAATATTTAGAAATTTAAAACCGAGTAAGAATTTACTTAAATAATTTTTTTCTTTATTTACTTCATAATTAATTTGTTTCAGTTAGGTTTCTTACATCTATAGTTATTTTTTTTCATTTGTTTTACGTTAGTTTAGGTTTGGTTTATATAAAGGTTGTAGATTCCCATTTAAATTCTACCATTAAATCTAAAGAATTTTACATATGAAAATATAAATGCAGAACCTAATATCAAATTTTAGAAAAACTTTCAAAAAGACAATCAACAATTGCATTTCAAATATACATTATGTAGTAATGTTTATATAGTATTAAAAATTTAATGATTATCGATATATGTACACACGTAAAGTATGTAACTTTATTCTTTTTCGTATTTACACTTCTCTCTCTATATATATAGAGGGAGAGATGATTATTGAAATGGAATTTGCATTTTTACCCTCTAAAATAGATTTTAATAACTCTACATTTAACTATTTTGACAATGTAATATTTATTTTTAAATTTAAACGAATGTTTCATTATTTATCTCAACGTCAATTGTTAAATACATAGAATTCATTCTTATTCTAAATTTTATACACATTTTATTAATAGACACAAAAAATGCGTGCAACGCATGTACACTAAAGCTAGAAAATTTAAAAAATATAAACAGGGCCTAAGACTGTCACACCCCGAATCTGGGGAGGGGGGTGAGGCCGGCACCCGGTGCCTCACCTATCCTTGCGTACCAACTTACGACTAAGGGACTTTGAACATATAATGTTATACTTTGGCCATGAGCCACATTGCAAGACAATTTGCGAACGCTTACTAAACATCAATATAATACTGGGCCGACAAGGCCGTCATAACTACTACACCTGGCAAACCAACGAAATATACATAAAAGGCCTACAAGCCCAACATACTGCACTAACTGACAGGATATGTCTACAAGCCTCTTCTGATGGATATACTATGATCGGAACAGGGCCCCGACCTACGCATAACATATATACATATATACACAAGATGTACATAAAGCTCTAGACCCGGCAACTCCGAAGGGCATGGAGCTTACCGATCAAGCTGAACTCGGGCAACACCTAATGCTGAGGTCTACCTGTCTGTCTGTCTGAACCTACACGCATGAAATGCAGCGCCCTCAGAAAAAGGGACGTCAGTACGAAATAATGTACCGAGTATGTAAGGCAATACACTTAAAGCTGAAACTGAACTGATAATATAATAAATGGAAGTAACTGGGAGTCAAAGATAATCTAAAGATATGCTCACCTGCTGATACTGACTCGACTCTCTCAATATAGTAAGTAAAATAGATGTCCGGCCTTATAATACTCGGTATATATAACTGCTTTACCGTAATAAGCTCGCTCATAGGCGTTCGGCCATACTAGGCTCTGTATCTCGGCCAACTGGGCTCGCTCATAGGTGCTCGATCATAGTAAGCTCGGTATATATCTTATCATCTGATCAGAGGTTGCCCAATAAGGGTCTGCCCATCGATTATAGCTCGATGGTAGTGAAAATACTGTAATACTGTATATATAGACTCTCTACTCTCTTGAATAGAAGAATACAATACTCAATTGAATATGAAGTCCCGATAAGGAGGATACTGTAACTTATGAGATTAGAAAATGTACATAAATTCAGGAATATAAATTTCTCTTTATACCTTGTTATCAAATTTATGTAATTACGAAATCATGCCAAAATGAAGGAAGGGCTTAGACTTAACATACCTAGAGTAGGAAAAAATTCGTATGATATTCTTGGAAAAGGTTGTATCATGCTCTCTTAGAATCGCAAAACCCCGCTACGATTACACAATATATCTTCGTTGCAAATTTCTTAGAATTGCAAATACGTATTTGAAGCTTCAGCTGTTTGCTTTCAATCAAGAAAGTTCTTTGAAACTAATTGTTATTGAATGAATGGTGATCCCATGAACTGCTGCTAATGACATCTCTTCGAGGAAACTTGGCATCAACAGTATTCTCTCTAAGGGGTTCCAAAAGAATAGGTGCCCGAGCATGCCTTTTGTCAAGTACTGCATGTTCAAGCAAACTAGTCCTTTCATATGAATGACCATAATCACTAGTATCTCTTGGCCTACCTTTAGGATATAAATAATCCATATTGCCGCCCCTAGGAGGACTAACTTTAGCATATTGGTAGCTTGAATTGCTAGTCTCTTCAAATTATAAATATAACATGTATTTTAATGATTTATGTTAGAAGTCTTTATTAAATAGAATGGCCCCACTCTTTGTAGGATTAAGCCACTGTTACTCTTAATATGCCATATATAGGTGAGCTTTAATAGTCACATTTTTGTGATTTTGTGGGCTGCCACGTTAAGGATTAAATCCTTATTCAATAATTGTCCACTTATTTCCTTAATTAGTTGGTTAATTTCCCATTAACCAATAATTATTCAATTATCTATATAATTAGTAATTATCTCAAATTACTTAAAATGCTACTCACTTTTAACATGTTTTGTACACCTTACTATCATGGTCATATGGTACCCTGTATGGTATTAGTCCATAAATACCAGGTATTATAGCTTGGACCGTATTTTATCCCAAAATGTCAAATTTCGACGAAACTCATCTTCTTCGATTTGCTTACTCGCTCACATTCACGAATTTACTTATTACTTGTTTGAAATAACGTAATATTTATAATCCCAAAATAATCTCATTCCAGAATTTACGTCGATTAGCTTATGACGAAGGAATTTTAACATGCGAAAATGCAGAATATAACATCTCATTTCCGATCTTATATCAATTTACTTATGGCTTAGTTCCACGTACGAAAACATGGGGTGTAACATCATTCCCCCCTTTGGAACATTCGTCCTCGAATATTGACTGATGCACTTATCATTTTCGTAACTTATGTCTTCCGAATACTTTAGAACTCTTCTTGCCATCTAAGCATCTATTCTGTGAACAAATTCAAAGTTCAGGGTATTCCCACCTGCAGGTCTCTTTCTCACACCGCGATCTGTGGTCGGAATTCTTCCAATCTCGTAACTCTTGCCACCTTCTGTCATGCAGCATGTATGACTTTTTCCTTATATGTGCGCCTATGTGACTCTTCCCTCCAGCTTTTAGCCAATCTCTAGGCCTCACTTTATAAACATATACAGAGCTTGACAAGATGTCCCTCTGGGAATCTATAGGTATATTGAAGTTCTTCGCTCGGTACTTTGAATATTGCTATATCTTATTTCATAGACCCATTTATCTATCTGCATGACTTTACTGCATCTAAGTAGGTCATAATATACCATAAATCTCACCTCAATTTATCATTACTGAGGTCTGCTACCAAATTCCAGCTTACGTTCGTTGCTCATCCCATATGTATAAATCTATGTCCTTTAATGCTTCCTCATTATTGTTCATCTTAAGAATGACGGCCTAATCTCACCTCATACTTTGTGACTTTTGTCCATCCATTGTTGATTCACATTAATGTTGATCTATCATCTACCACTGCTAACTTGATCTCTTATGTAACACTGCCGCTAGGGCTCACGTCTCATCGAGGACATCTAGAGTAATTAGATTGATCCACCTAGGGGCGATACTATACTTTCATAACGATATTTTATAGCATCCCAATATGACTGACCTTACATGGGTATTTCAATCTCGTACAATTCATGAAATCCTCTTCAAGTCATTACTCAATTGAAAGCCCAAATGCCATTCTTTATCTATCACAATCAGACCTTCATTTCACTACCAGGATAGCATTCCATCTCTTCTAAATGCTACTAGTCTTAGACTCCTTTGAGTTTATTTAGGCTGTACTGAGCTTTGTATAACTTAGAGACAACATCGACTCTTATTGTTTTCATGGGCTTAGTCCTGAGGACTTATCCATTCTCGTCACCTTCTCACTCGCCCTTTCTTATCCTTACTCGTGTCTTCCTAAAACCTTGTCGTTTTACCATACTTTAGCTTGTGACTTAAACATATCTATTTATACTACTTGCAACCTTCCTTCAACTTGTTTGCCCCATAGATTTTCTTATGTTATTCTGGAATATTAAGCGAAAGATCACATCGTCTCTAACTCTTCTTTACTCTCTTGACTAGGCCTCTTGATACCTAGTAACCATAGGCGGGAAGGTATGCCACTGACGATGCCGCTATCATCCCTAGATATTTCATCCCCGCACTTCTAGTCTTCTATCCGAAGTAAGGACTATTCACAACCTTCTGCATTTGAGTATCTCGTATGTTGTCCATCTTTACCTTACTTATCTTAAAGTTTCACATCATATCTTCTATCTCTTTCATAACCCTCCTTCCACATAGGTATAATTCACGTTCACAACTTGAAGTTTTCTTATAATACTTGCACCTCTGGTGCACAAACAATCTAGTGGTAGCTCCATACTGACTTTTTATGATGCTGGTACTCCTCTAACTGGTTTTCTTGTAGGGCTGTTATAGAATATGGTTGTATGACTGTCAACAATATATGTTGCATGGATAATACTCCAAAATCGTAAGTGCGTTCATAACGTAACTAGCTCT